AACTTGAAGGCAGTTAAAACCTTACTAACTAGGTCACAAATTTAAAGTGATAAAACCTACATAATTACTGCCTTTCCCCAATCATATTCTTTGGCGAAACTGTATTTTATTTTGGTGCCCAAATCCACTCGTCATTTCACTCACCCATCCGGATCTTCATACAATTGACTTTTTTGTTTGTTTGTTTTTTGAAGGAAAACATCGTCTTTTCAGTAATTGACGCAAACAGCCTATAGGGCATGCAAAGGTCAGAATAATTCATTAAAAACAAATTAAAAGTGATAAATTATTCTTTTAATAAACTAGGGTATAATTATGAAAAACCATGTATTTGACATATGTCAACCACTAATAAGGTTTATAATAATTATTCGTTGATTTGTTCAGTTTTTTAAATCATATATTTTGGTTGTTTGGCACAAAAGTGTATTTTTATGTAACAATTTTTGTTACGCACAGCGGAACCCCGTGGATCAGCGGTAAATTTACGAACTTACAATGCTAAAATCCGGGATTTGATTCCCCGCGGTGGACACATCACAGACAGCCTATTTTGAAGCTTTTCGATAAAACAAACAAACAAGTTACGCAGTGAAATTCGGGTAGTTTAGCATAGCACGAGTTAACGCACGGAGAATTGTAATGCAATGATCCTTTTTCTTTTTTTTTTTTTTAGCTTAGGAATTTTCAGCAGTAGTTCGTCCTGAAAACGACCTACTTTCCATAAGATCTTGCACGGAAGCTCTGGGGATAAAGCGAATGATCATTTAAAAGAACCGGTAAAGTGACTCCGCTGCTCGAGTTCAGCACTGCAAACGTCACGAGGACTAGTAATCTATAACAAATAAAATAAAACAAAAATAAATAGTCATAATAGAGTCGGTTTATTACAAGATACATGTATAGTTTTAAGGAAGTGGTAAAATATGTAAGCGGATCAAACTGACTGCACGACATAATAATCATAATCAATATTCTGTTATTCACAAGAACATAAAAAGCACGCCGAACCGGAGCGTAGTTTCGCGGTTAGCGTGTTCGGACTGAACATCCGAGAGTTCATGGTTCGACTACCTATTAAAGTTAGATAGTTGTTTGTTTGGTAAAACTACATATTAAAGTTAGATAGTTGTCTGTTTGGTAAAACTACATATTAAAGTTAGATAGTTGTTTGTTTGGTAAAACTACATATTAAAGTTAGATAGTTGTTTGTTTGGTAAAACTACCTATTAAAGTTAGATAGTTGTTTGTTTGGTAAAACTACAAGACGCCCTCTTTTTTAGTATATAAGCCCGGCAAAGAAAAAGAGATAGAATTGCATAGATATATATAGAGAGAGATAGATAATTGAGTCCAGCGAGCAGTAGGCACCGTAAGTAAAGTGTGTGAATCGCTGTGAATTATAGCGTGTGTTTATAAAAGTAGTTAAGTTAAAGTGACTGTGGAAATTCTGTGTATTGCAAAGTTGTATCGAAAAAGAATAAACTAGTTTTATTTTAGAAAGGACTTGTATCGCTGAAGTTCCTCGGGAAGAATTTATACTGGAAATTAACAAACTAACAGAGACATAACACTATACTTTATTGTTTACTTTCCGTGTAGTTTTATTAAATAAAGTTAAATCTACGTGAGTTTGTTTATCTGACTGCGTAATTTTTTTCTTCAAATAGACTAGGATTTATCGACATAACACATAATGCTTGCAAGGAAGCGTAACATAAATGTCATGCGTGAAAATGATAGAATAAGAAAATTTCAAGCAAAGGTCATGAAAACTACTGCTAATATTTTGCGGTTCGTGGCTAGTAATATATGAACATCCCAGTTGCTTCCATTACAAGATGTTCCTAATCCATTGCAAATAGAAACAATTTGTCCACCATGTTTTTCACTTGGTGTGGTTTGCATTCTCAAACAACTCCGCATTTTTCTCTCAACGAGAAATCACAGGCTTAAGTATAGTGCAGTTTGCGACCAAACTGAAAACATTTTTTAACTGCATTAACAAAACACAATGCAACCATGTTTCTTTCTCTGTGAGGTTGAAGTTAATTATTATTGTCTGAACTAAATGCCCCTCAGTAGAACAGCGGGACTTACAGCCCCAGATACCCCATTGTTGAGTTTGCAAAGCTACAAACAAACAAATCTCTACTAACCATATCACAACTCAACATTCAAAACCAATATCTTTGTTTGCCTGAAAATGTGTACTATGATTTATATATATATATATCATTCGTATAACTAATTACATATACACAAAATAGTTCATATATATAGCAAATACATGCCTGCTGTACACACATATCCATTTTCACATATTTAGTAACATTCATCTACAGTACATGCCATCACTGTTCAGTTCTGTGCTATTTCAATGAAGCATTTGCAACATTTTGAGGCATTTTACGTTATTTTCAAATGCTTCAAGAAGCGATGAATATATGTTTTATTAGATTCCATGTATGACATACATACATGCAAAATGAAGAACAACTGCGCACATTTAGTGAAAGCATAAGAAAAGTTACACAACGATGATTGACCAAGAAAGGAAATGTATGTCTAGTATAAACTAAGACGTATTCCAGGCTATAATGTAGCGGTTTGTCTTATCTACATAAACAGAAACACCAGTAGCAGAGTGGAAACTACGAGAAAGTTTATGTCAACTTTGTTAAAGGTAGGAAATAAGTTATATAAAAAGAATTAGAAAGAGAATCAGAGACTCTTGGCGAGACTTCAGACTGTTAGCAAAGTCCTCAGCAAAAGACTAAAGTTGCTCTGAAAGGGTGTTGTATAATTGCTCTGGTGCTAACTACTTGGTTTGTTTGTTGCACTCCTGCCTTCATTATCACGCCAATGACCATTCCAGCTGGAAATTGAATAGCTAAACATTCACAATTATAGACTAGCACTAGGACATGTTACTATTTAAACAAGAGCAGCCTACCTTCCATACAGAAAATTGTGCGTTTCATCCATCAGTTCTACCATTGCAGGAGATGGTAAAAATGCACTAGACTGTATCTGTAGTTTACTATGGATCAACACATGCACATTTGGTGAAATCACTATCTCTTTCTTAACATGTATACTGATAGTTCTCTTTTCTTACATCCAATCTGGTCAACACTATATAAGTTTGCTTAGAACTTCAATTAACCTACTGTACAAGTGAAACTGGCTGGCAATTTCAGTAGTAAGTCTATTCCTAAGATACCAATGCCTGGACCAAAATCAGAAACATACTACCTTTGTTTTGTGCATGACATTGCTGAAATATAATCAGAGTGTGCCTCTACTCTCACTTCTGGCCTCAACATTCACTGGAACAAAGTTTGTGCTGTTTGTTTGTTGAATTTTGCGTAAAGTTACTTGAGAACTATTTGCTCCAGCTGTCCCTAATTTTGAAATGATAGAGTAGGTGAAGGCAGTTAGTCAACCCCACCCACTGCCAATTCTTGGGCTGCTCTTTTTAACAATGAATAGTGGACTTGACCATCACATTATGATGATTTCATGGCTGAAAGGAGGAGCATGTTCAGTTACAGAATTCGAACTGTGACCAACAGATTGCCAGTCAAGTACCCTAACCATCAAGCCATGTCAGGTTCTAGTTCGTGATAGTTGGCTGAAGTGGTGTCTTACCACAGAGCGTCTGATACACAGCACAGGGAGTAAGGTTTTGGAAACTTCAGCATTTACCAGAAAGTTAACGTTGCATCCATGTAATGGTATTATCACGTACTATATGATGTAAGTGGCCAAGTTATTGTAGTGCTCTCGCATTTGAGCACTGAACTTCACCCTACTGGTTGCTCAGTTCCTCACAGGGTAATATCTGGAATGTAACTCATTAACAACTGTGTCCTACTCACTGAGTCACTCCTCATCCAAATGATCTCGAACACGAGTATTGTATCTTCTAGGCTCAGCATCTATCATAGTTTTGGGTTAGGTTCACAGTACAGTATGATATTCTACAATCCTAGATTACCTACATCAACGACCATTCTCAGTATACGTTCAAGGGAGGTAAAAAAAAATCATGCTATATTTTGCAAGTCTGTGAACCACCCCTTAACTTAAGTAGACCCACACTCCAGGGAAGCAGTAATACAGGAAGATGATCAAGCAAGTTAACTGCAAGTATAAGTTTTGCAGGGTTACTGTTGTGGCATGTAACCTTTGTCTTAAATAAAAGACTAGCACAAGTTTACAATCTTCCACATCCTGTTTACTAGAACGCCAACTAATTGCATGTTGAAAAACTGCACAAAATAAAGATATAGTGTTTTATATTTACGGAAGGGTAAACTGCAGCAATTTTAAGCTGCGACTTCAAGTTAAAATCTGCATCAGATTAGGAATTTTTTTATCCTATTTTTGAATATAGAGGTGTCTTTCATAGGCTAAAAACGAGGGATTTAGTACTAAAATAGATTTGCCTTTTCATATAATAAAGTCATAATATTTGGAAAACAAATACGATCAAAATTAGGATAAGTCATAATTAAAGTCAACGTTTCGCAAATGTTCAGGTCATTAGGTTTCTCAATTCACCCATGAATAGGAAGGATCTACCTTCCGAAAGCATCACTCGTGTTTTTAAGTGTTTTAATAAAGAAAAGGCATATCGTTACAAAATAATACACATGTAACTTCGCTAATGAAATATTCTGTAAATTATTAATCCGCTTTAAAAAGAACCAAAATATATAAAAAAAAATGTAACAATATTAAAACACACATTCTTCCAGTTTCTGGTTGCAGTTACTAATATAAAAATTTGAGCAAAATAAATTTCATCATTAAGTTATGAAGATAATTATGATCCACGAGGAAAACCATGCAAATAATAATAAATAAATATAAATTTAAATGATATCCAACATGAAAACCCTCATTATAAAAATTTTCCAGGTAGCGCAATTAAATAGGGGGAAAAAAAAACCCATTGCATCATCCATTTACGTCATTGTGCGTCATTTCATTCAATGGGCACAGATTCTGGGAAGTGGAGGAAAGAGTGATGCAGGATTAAGACAACTGTGTTGCACGTTAAAGACGAAATTGAAAATACCACTTCCTTGTTTCTTGTCATTTCCAGTTCAGTTATCCTCAATTAAGAATTAATCTTGTGCCGAATTTCTGAAGAAACAGTTCAGATATACTAGTCTGGTGATAATTTCAAGTCTTTACATAGAAAAAGGAGGCTCAGTTGGGCAATATCCAAGACCTAAGGTTAACCTTTATTGTTACTGACGTTAGTAAGAGTGAGACTTGAGTAAGTAAAGGTTGTCGCAAACACAGTTGGCAAGAGTGTCAAAGTTTAATTGCTGAGGAGAGTGACTGAAGCCTGGAAGTATAGTTTGTTGTGAACACAGAACTCTGTTTAGACAGTGATGCAAAATATAGCTAGTTCTTTCATTAGAGGCTTTGGCTTAAGCTCAGTGTCCGGACTTGGTGTGAGTTCCTCAAAGCTTACCTTAAAGAGGAGCAATCAGTGGTATGTTACTCTAAATTTACCCTTTAAGATTGGGATACATGCTAAGAATAGTGTGTTCTCTTCACATAGTGTCAGTTATTCTACATGTAAATCAAAAGTTAGTTCTGTGTCAAATTCTTTGAGCAATACTTTCATTGGGCATTGTAAAAATTACAGTATTGGTAGTCATTTACGGATTTATAAAAATATGCATATAAACCCAAATCTGTCATTGGCAACTTCTGACGTAAGCCAGCTTAAAGCTAATGTACAGAAAAACTTTGGTCATCGTTTCATATCAACTAGTTCTTTGTCTGGCTGTAGTCAAAAAACAGAGTCTTCAGACATGTGTGATAGATTTGGGAACTCTGAGCAGGGAAACACAAAGTGTGTAAAACATATATTAGAAAAGGATGTTGAACTACAGTCAATTTTGGAAGATATCAATGATGATTTTGAAGGACCTTCATTTCATCCACAGATTGATAAAGGAGTTTATGAAGGTAGAAATCTGAATAGTTTTGAAAATGAATGTTATGAACAGCAGCCATGGATAGCCTGTGATTTTCAGGAAAATGACTTTTCAGACATAGATATAACCTATTTATTTTCAAACCAAGTGTTTGATACTAAGTGTGATCAAGATGAAACAAAAGAAAGAAGTTTTGCTAGTGAAACTGGAAAGATTGGCTCATCTAGCTCTCACTCATGTTGTAGTAAACATGAGCCTACAGTGTCAGCAGACATAAGAGTTTCAACACCAGATTCCATTATCAACTATGATCTGTTCCATTACATGGGAGAAATATGTCCTCTGGGAAAAGAATCTCAACAAGGTATGCTTATATGTGCTGTAGCATAAATTTTACCTGTTTGTACACAAACTGTACTTAATTTAATGTATAAATATCAGTTTAAAATCTCTAGGTTAATAATATTAGTAATAATAGTACCCTAAAATTGATCATCTGGATGGGGGGGTTCATTAAAAAAATGCAACATGTGTTATGTTTAATGTTTATGAAAAGAATCCAAAATGCTTATAGAAATGTTTTCAAAAGTATAGAAACATTTACAGGTGAGTCAGTATGCATTTTAATGAGAAATCTTGTTCTTAAATAATCATTTATACAAGCATTCATGTCTGTTTTTTCACATCTCAGGGCAGAAAAATTCCAGCCATTATTTTGGTTTTCTGTAATTTATACTCGGGACTTCCAGTCGATATTGAAAAGTGGTTGGATAACATATCCCAACCCTTATTTACAGCTGGACAATATATGAAATCATACTAAACCCACACTTTTCCTTTGAATTTTGTGATTAGTCTGAATTAGAATTTGTATTTATATAAAGTGTGTTTTGCAACAATTTATTGAAACTACAGAGAATATGGTCACTTATGATGTCAATAAAAACAGTCTCTGACTCTTGATGAAATGGAACAGATAGACCTGCTTGTTGCTAATTGACAGTATAAAAAAAATTCACATATGTATTATGCCAAGCTAACTGGTTTGCCTACCCCTCCTTCTGGTTGATTCCCACAAGTGCCTCCAAGACCTTTTGAAGCAAATTTTAAAAGGCTAGAAACTTAATTTTTCTACTTAATAAGACCCCTTTTTATAATTGTATTTGAACAGATTTTGTTCTAGAAATAAATATTTTAACCATTAGTATTGTACTCAGACTGCAGGAATCCCTCATTTTATATATGTGTGTTCTCTTGAAAATAGTAAATTGTGGACTAGATGACAAATATGCTATTTTGACATTTGAAATGCAAAGTTCCATAAGTAGGCCTATATCTTCTGGCCATGTATTTTAAATAATAAATATGACTACATTATTTCATTTTTAACCAATTGTAGTGCCACTAGCTTGTAATTCTACTAGATCCAAAACAAGACTAAAAATTTGCCTATGCATAAAAAATTTACATCTCGCACTGACAAGCCTTGCATCCATGGCAAGCAACTGAGGTACCAGCCACACTGATCATGGCCAGATGTCAATCTTTTTACATTTCTTTGTGTGTTTTATGGCTCATTAATGAAAGTCTGAACATAAAATTAAATATAGGATGAGAGCATTTGTAGTGTGATTAACATTTTTGACAAGTAATAAAATACATATATAAAATTACTATACTAACATAAACAAACAGAACCTCCGAACTACTACTTATGATGCACTAGTGATATTCAGAGATTAACACACCTATTTACACATTTCTAATTTGCACCATCCGTGAAAGTCATTTAAGGTTTTGTGATGGATCAATACCCATTTTTGCCAAGAAGAGCACATAATAACAATTCAACTATATCTTGGTTTTGTGCTTGATACCAGAGCTAATCAGGTCTGGTTGGGGCCCGGGGTCGGTTGAGGGGCCCAGTAGTAGGATATTCCAAAGCTCACTAGAAATGCATACTACTTAATGAGTTAAAATAGCTTCTGCTTTTTCATGGATTCGTTATTAAAATAATGAAATGGGGCCTGATGATATTACTGAGCCTGGGCTGGCTCTTGACATCCCTGAACACATCATGTATTATTTTTATAGCAGTATTTTCAAAAACATCAAATGTTGAGAGGAAGACAGAAATCAAATCCTCTTAATTCTCTCACTATGGGCTTGATCCCAGGGACCGACCTTGTAACCATTTTGTGCTTGTTATAGTTTTCATACTATAACTTTTAATACAGTATGCATACTTTCACAAAATTTTGCAGATTATCAGTAAATATTACAAGACTTTCATACATAAAATATCAGATTTTTTAAATTATGATGTGCCTGTGATTTTTTCTTGTCGGATTTTGACTGTCTAATATGCAGAGTAATCTTGATTTTAAGATTAAGAATACTTTTATGCATCAGAAAATTGGCATATTTTACATGCAAAATCTTTATAACCTCCAGGTAATTATCAAATGTTTTTGTTTAGAAAAAACTATATTTTATCTGTTATTTTCATGATTTGACTGACCTCATATGCACCATAAAAAAATTAGGAAATAGATATAAATTATGCTTTTTCATTCTAAAATGACTACAAATTATAAAACAAAACCACAAATGTTTAGTCTAAATAGCTTAAATCTAATGAAATTATACATCTATAGATATTTATTATTTTTGTTTTATTGACCTTTCAGCCACATCTGACTAATATTACAGAAGTTGCAATGACGAGGTGCACATACACTCATGTTACTGTATAAAACTGGCCTTTACAAAGTGACCTCTCTTGGCTTTGTTTGAGTGGACCAGTATTTTTGTAGAATACAATCACATTTTGGTTAAAATACATTACATATTTGTGTGTGTGTGTGTGTGTGTGTATACACACATACACGCACACATACAAATAAGTTCTTAAATTTCAGTTATTTTTCTTAAAACATAGAACTGTAAATAAAGAAGTATAGAAAACAATGATCTCTTCTAATTATGAACTTTGTACTTGTTTGCCACTTGCCGTAACTTACTAAGCCTTATCAAATTTTACATGTAGAGGATGTAAAACAAAATAATTTTTTCAGGTTTTATATACCACATAATTCCACTATAATTTATCAGGCTTACTAACTAAGCTGTATTTGGGTATAAAAAAAATATTTTGAACAACATTTTCTGGGGAACTTTCCACCTTCAATTATCTTGTCACATGAAACAATACAGTTTTCTTTTCATCCAAAAAAGTTGAAAGAATTATCTTTTTTTGGTCATTAGTTATCATAAACTTTCTGGTTATTTTTGACAATATTAAATTGAAATATAAGCAAGGAAAACTAGAGAATACTGTAACAGCTATATATTGTATTTAGCATTTCCATCGATATCCAAATAATTATGTCATAAACATCATATAAAGATCACATTTATATTATTAATATGTATACAGATACACACACATATAAGTATATCCTGTCATCCCTCTGACTAGCCTTTTTAATTTTTACTGGTTGATTTTCAAAATTCTTTGTCTTTCCATAACTTTCCTGTACATTCATTACCTTGTTCACCTCATAGTAATTATTTTATCATAGCCTTCTGTTTAGCTCAACTATTGATGCTACCCAATATCAACTGCAATTATAACTTAGAGCAATCCTCAAAACATATTGTTTTTGCTTCTGCCACTGAATTTTGTTTGTTTGTACTTAAGCACAAAACTACACAATAGGCTATCTGTGGTGTTTCCACCACAAGTGTCAAAACCCAGTTTTTAGCACTGTAAATCTGCAGACATACCTCTGAACCACTGGGGGGCCTACCATTGAAACATCTCATTTTCTGAAATGGTATGCAAAAAAATGGTCATTTTTATTAAAAAACATGAAAAAAAGACAAGAAATTGGGATTATGAGCTGTCCTCTTTATTTGAAAGAAAAGCTGAAAAATATATCCAAATCAAAATACTTTATAAACTTCTTCTACAAATGAAACCAGTTAGGTATTGACATTTTCATGTGTGATGACACCTAAACAAGGTCACATGTTTGTTTTCTAAAGGTGGCATTATCTTTGGTCCTAGGATGTTATGAAATTTTGCATAAAGTAAATAAATCAAGTGAAGAAGTGACAGTTTACTTTGTACTAATAAGAAGGACCTCTTACTTTACATCTGAAAAGTCCCTCTGTGTAATTTGATTCAGATAGGGTTTCCTTTTCTGACACTGGTGTATTTGTGACACTAATTACATACTAGTACAACAGATCACAAGGTCATGTATCAAAAGGCAAGTTAGAGCTACACTGTCCACTGATCAAAGCGAAATAGAATGGGGGCTGAAGTTGTTCATCAGCCAAAAGAGTATATTTTTTTATAAAATTTTTTGGACCCAATGAAGCCTGTTAAAAACCCTGAAAGAAGAAGTACAGTGAAATAATAATAAATAATACAAGAAAAATAAAGTTAATCCTATTTTATATGTACTATTCACGATTATAGCATATCTTTGTATCACTGTACAATTACAAACTGTGAGTATTTATTACTTTTTTTCACATTTTTCAGAACACTGGTGCTTTCAAATAGACTTAAAATAATGCTAAATGTGACTTTATCACATACTTTGAATATATGGATTATTTTGAGGAAATGCTAGTTGACCCCAATATTATGGAAGAAAAGTATATTGAAGAAACTTAGCCATTTCAGTGAGTTAGTTATCTCACTAACCCTAAGATTTTGTACAGGCTAACAGCTACACGTCACTCACAATGAGAAAGGTTACATGAAATTTGTCATTAGGTTGTACATTAGGGGCAGCTGTTATTGAACTTGCTGTTAGTTAGCATACAGCGTAAGGTGCTTGCTGCCTAAGGGAAACAAACACGTTCTTGCATGTGCATTCTGTAACACAAACACTTATTATTTATATTTACTACTTCAATGTATTTTATAGAAATTGGACAATACATCAAAATATGCTGTTCATATTTATGTGCTTTACTGAGAAGTGAAACAACACAAATACAATTGGTTAATTATTTATCAATAACTGAATAGTTCACTTAACCCTTTCACTATGGGTCTTCCTATGGTCAGGGGGTCAAAGGGCATGTCACCATGTTTGTAGATTTACATTCAAAATTTTATTGAACTACTATTTTATGAATGTAAAGCTATAAGTTTGATATCAAATTGTAGATTATAATTCAAATTTTAGTATTATACATTAGTTAATTTCAAAACTTAAAAGTAAATGTTGAAACAAAATTCCGAAATATCGATTTTTGTGTGTGATGTCCAAATACAAAATCTACAGTTTCTTATGAATTAGGTACTCAAATTACCAATATTGACAAGCTAGAATATAAAATAAAAACCTCCTATCTTTTCTGTTTTCTGAGATATTAATATATTTATTGAATAAACCAGAATAGCCTCGTTCACCTCTTCAGTTTTTGAAAATACCTACTTACATATACCTACTTTGCCCAATGTCGTGTGTAGAACCAATCGAAAGCTCAGAATGGCCCCCTGGTGGCTTTCTCAGCCTCTCTGAAGTAATTGGGTGGCAAACTCTTTCTTTTCATGCTAGATTCCAAGTGGTAAGGTAAGACATTAGTGAGCTCAATATTTCATATTTTTTTAGACCCAAATACAACTTAGTTACTAAGCTTAATAAATTATAGTGGAATTCTATGGTATTGATATAGCAATTTATGAATTTTGGTTATTTAAAAATGTATATATAAAACCTAATAAAATTATTTCATTTCACATCCTCCACGTGCTAAATTTGATAAGGCTTAGCAACCTACAGCAGACAGCAAATGAGTATAAATTTCGTAACTAGAACAGATAGATGTCTGCTATTCTTCTTTATTTACTGTTCTATGTTTAAGAAACATAACTGAAATTTAAGAACTTATTTGTAAACAGTAATAATGTATATACATATATTATGTATTATAACTGAAGTGTGACTGTATTTTATAAACTACTAGGCCAGATTTATATTCTTGGATATTGTAACACAAGTGCACGTTCGCCACGTCATTGCAATTTCTGTTAGCCAGGCACTGCTAAAAGGTCTATATAATGAAAATAAAAAATAGTGTGTCAATGTATAATGTTATATAAGATACAAAAAATACAAAGTTTTTTTAAAAAAAACACTTGATAATTATCTGGAGGTTATAAAGATTTTGCATGTGAAATTTTAAAATTTTCTGATGCATAAAAATATTCTTAATCTTAATATCAAAATTACTTTGCATGTTGGATAGTCAACATTCGAAAAGAAGAAAAGCACGAGAAAAACATTTCTTAAGAAATCTTAAAACTTAATTAAAAAATCAGATATTTTTTTGTACGGAAAGCCTTGTAATGTTTACTGATAATATGTAACATTTCGAGAAGATATGCTCACTAATTTAAAAGTTATGCCATGAAAAGTATAACAAGCATAAAATAGTCATGAGGTTGGTCCCTGGGGGGTGAGCTTTTAGTTGGAATTTTTTACAGATCACCAGATGAAACTGATGAACTTCATAAGTTTTACAGTGTCATTAAGATTTTATAGCTGTTAATGAAATCATAATTATGGGAAGGTTCTTAATTTTTGACATATACATTAGATTGGAAAATTTTAAAGTCAAACAATGAGGGAGATAGATTTTTACAAACTGTTTGGGATGGTTTTCTTCACTAGGGGTCAGGGAACAACCTACTAGGAACAATGCTATTTCATATTTATTGTCAACTTCCAATATGGCAATGAAAGTGATTGAGAGGGTAGAAATTGGAGAACATCTGGGTGCAAGTGATCATTTCTCAATTAGGTTTGATGTTTTACTGCAGTTGGAGATCAGGAATAATGAAGTTTCTGGTACAAATTTCTAAAACAGCAAGTTTTGAAGGGATGTGGCAGGAATTACCTATTGTGAATTGGGCAACTAAATTAATTTGAGGTATTGTGGAAACATTTTTTTTGAAAAAATAAATAAAGTGCACCTGGGTTTTGAACATCATCTCACTTTCTTTGTCCAGTGAACAGCATCATCTCGTGACCTCTGTTCACTGACAGCATTGGAAGGCTATCAGTTTTAGTTGATGTCATAGTTTGGCCAGCAAAGGATATTCCAGTTTTAACTAGTTCAACCCAGGCTCAAGATACAGCACTGAAATATCCTTGAGGACAGAGGATGTCATACAAGAACAAATGGCTGAAGTGATAGTATTAAACACCATGGATGGTGTGTTGCTGCATGACAGTGTGAAGACTAATTAATCAATAATTTGGAATAATCCTTTATTCTTTTAGAAAGTAAGAGAACATTGTATGCCTTGATACCATAAGTGTATAGTTATATTAGTTTCAAATACAAGAACTGTATGAATTGTATAAATAATCAATATATTAATAAATTAATCTAATGTAAACAGTTACAGTAGTGACCATTATAGTGAGAAAAAAAGTGTCTTTTATATATCCTTACTGGTTAGTCATTTTGTTCCACTTTTACAGAGAATGCCCTCTGCCATTTGCTGCAAAACATTTTCTTCAGTTTTTAGTGCCAGGAAGTATATTGTTTTATGCTAATGAACTTTGCACTTTCATTGTGAAGTTCTGTTTTGGAACCTTTGATGGTTACATTTTGTCAATTGTAAGTTTGCCAGTGATACTTAACTAAAATTTTGGGAGAGGCTGTTACTGCTAAGTGTTTTTCTTATTCAGAAAGAATTCAAAGGTCATATTAACAGAGCCATATTGTACGAAATGAGTTTTAATGTTCACAGGTCTTAAGTAATCAACTTGGAATATGGAATTTTGGAAAATATTTGCTCCTTATTTTAGAGGAGTATTGAGATTTCTGAAAAGAAATTTAGGTTTAGGTTTTTTTTATAGTACAGACTTGATTCCATTACTTTAAAAATGGTATTAACATGTTGGAAAGTGGAGAGACAGGCTAATAGGATAATACATGTATATGTTTTAAAAGGTTTTTAAGAAGTCTACATACACTATACTGAACACAGAGTTGATTAGTTACTAATGCTATAGTGTCTACATTCACTATACTGAGCACCAGCTTGGTTAGTTACTAATGCTTTTTGAAGTGTATTTTGGGATAAGGGGACACTGTATTTTGTATCTCCAACACCTAGACCTTTGACAGTATTAAAGTTGTGCATAATGGTTTGTCTGGGGAGGGATGGATCCCTCACAGTAACCATGAAAGCTTTTTACTTCCACCTTTTTAAGCTTTTCTTTCACTTTCTTTATGTAATTCCTGGTTCTGTCTTTATTTTTCTGTGCATTGTAAAAAGTAGTGGTGAAATGGCTCAGGTGTAGAGTTGGGGGATTAGTGGAATATACTGTTTGATTAATCTTCAGGTTCATTGACTGATTATTCTCACGAGACTCGAATAGTTGGAATAATCATAAATTGTAATAATTGGAAACATTAATTTTGATTAGTTTATTATTTTTTAGTTGCAAAACTAATCAATTTAGCTCATCATTCTCAATAATTAAAAATAATGAGAAATCGTAATGGAAATATTCTGTTTACTTGATTAATCATGGGACATTAATCAATTTAAATGTAATTTTGATTAATCAATTAACTGAGTTAATCACTCAGCTCTATTCAGGTGTTTAAATTATAAGGGGATTGGATAATCTTCTTTTGTGTAACATGATAAAAGTTTTAAACTTGGAAAGATCAGATTCAAGCTGTTATTTCAATAGAAGTTTGTCTACTGGTGTGGTGTATACTGTTTAATTTACATAATTTTAGGTTTGGTGCTTTGATCAATGGATAAGAGACTTCTATAAGCAGACTCTTGTGTCTTATTATTATTATTATTTTTATAGTCAGATATGTGTTAATATATTGTTGCCTTACACTGGTGAGTATTGTTTTTTCAGATTTTTTGTTTGTTTGTTTACTTAGGAGTATTAGATATAATAAGGAAGAACTTGGAAGAAATGTCAGTGATTGAAATTCCAAAATCACTTAAGCACATTGACTACTTAATCCTGGGAACAACCAGTTCACCCCAGCAACTCGATAAGCTGATAACTCAAGTTCAAGTGTTGGTGAGTAATAACAAGATTAATTGGTGATGATAAAAAATATAGGAATATAGTGCATGTATAACTTAGCATGTGCATGACAGATTAAGATATATGTATATATAAAGAAAGCCTGAAGTAAAACACAATGATTTGAATAATAAACATTTCATAATCAACCTATTTTTACCAAAACCATTTCTCACTATTCTTATGGATATCTCACCATATGCTAATATATTTCCTTTTAGCAAATGTTCATGCCACAATAAATTGTGCAAGATTAGACATTCTTATGACTACTGATTGATATTAAATGAAGAAGATGAAGCAGAACAGGAGCTTTTTGACTGTACTGCTCATAAATATATTCAATTTTTGTCATCAAATTTCCAAACCTTATATTCAGTTTTTTGCAGGAAAGCATACACCTACCATATAAGTGGTAAGTTGGGTCTCGTTGAAGTAAGTTTTAACACACTCGTACTTCTAACTTGTGAGTTTTATCTAAAACATTTAATTAGGATGACAAACTTGGAATCCTTTAAAAGTCTTATTTTAATAAAAAAATATTAATTTTATGAAAAGTATGTGTAAGATAATATGTTGGTGTTTAATAATCCAAAGTAAACTTTATTTTAACATTAAAAAAAAGTGTTTATTTTTAAGTTTAACTACAATTTTATCTCTGAAAAAACAAGTAATTGTATTATCTAGGTCAACTATATCTTATTTTCCTACATTCATGACCTTCAGGAAACCTTAACATTAAGATCATATGTCATCTAGCTAAACCAATGAGAATACTATGTTTTTACATATGCTTACAAGCTTAGTCAAGGTTCACCCTGTGTAGAGACTTGCTTAGTTTTTACCAGTAGTTATGTTTAGTATTTTATTTGCAGCTGTAGTTTCTGAACATTTTTCCTCATTCAAACCAGCAGTTCCCAAGTGATTGACTTAGTTAAAGCTTTTGATTAGGGAGGCCATGATGGCACCTACTGTTTTATGAGAGGTCAGGTGCTTTATGTGCTAATGAGCTCAAGGAATCTTTTTTAATAGGACTTACATCTGTACCCTTCATTCAACTGTTGATTACTAGTGGTTAATCTTCTTGAAAGTTCTTTCAACTAGAGTTTTTCTTTTCTAAAAACTAGAGATTTCCTTCTGAGATTGTTGAATAGGAATAACTTTGATATTTGTGTTCTCTATCAATCTCCTCTCTAAATCTGTGTACAGATGGTCTTATAGAAGCATGGGTCATAGTTGATTCATTCCCATAATTCCTACTGTATTCTCCTATGTCATCTACCAATTTGAGGTGTTCGACTTTCAACATTGTTCTATGATTCAAGAAAGGGAGGATATTTATATGTAAATTTTCTTGTTGATCAACCTTCACAACTGTTAGGCATCCATTATAGTCACACAGGTAATTGATTAAAATGGGTTAGAATTTGAAACAGAAATGCCTTTTTCAGTATATTCATTCACAGTCTCTTATTGTATCTTTGTTCAGAATGCTTTGACATTGAGGTTGGATGCCTTCATTCAAATTTTTTTTGTTTTTTGTAACGTGTCATTTTCCACAGACTCCTAATTGGATACAAAACTCTTCACTTTAGGTTATCCTTGAGCATAAAGACAGCTCAAATGTACTACTACTCCTGCACTTACATTCACAACTAAACCACCCCTCATCATGTTTGTAGCTTTTTGCATGTGGTAATGTTTTGATTCTTTCTTCACCAATATATCCTTAATCATCACAGCTTGCTTCAGTCAAGGTCTTCATGAGAAAAACATTTTAACTCTTGGCTGCTACTGCTATGTTATCTATTCCTTTTTGATGCAAATATATCAGTCTAAATCAGACATTCCCAACCTGGGGTACATGTACCCCCAGAAGTACATTTGCGCTTCTTAGGGGGTCTGAGAGTATAACCATGGTTTACACTTTACATGGTGTTTTAATCTACAGTCAGACAAAGTGCAAAGTGGCTAACATAAATATACGCTCTTTAGACAAAAAGTTGTGATCATGGTGAACGTTGTGATGTTATTGCTGTGCTACGTCACAATGTTTTCATGTTTTTAATAAGTAATGTAGAACATAAGCAATATAGAACACCCCTCGTTACAGATCAGCTGATAAACTAGGGATCGGCCAATTGGGCAAGCTCTCCTCCCTCCATTAATCAGAATGCCCAAGGGGTACAGAGGAACAAAAAGGTTGGGAATCCCTAGTCTAAATGTTCAGCATTTCAGTTTATTTAGGCAAAAAACTGCAACCTTCTGTCCATCAAATTGCTGATTTTGAAGTACATAGATTTTCAGTCTTTGCTCTGTAAGGCCATTGGACTTTAAATCCACAACTATTGAATTATTACATTCTGAGGCATTTTTGATATTAGTCAATATTTTCAGATCCTTTTTCTTCTCATTTACCATTAGTTTCTTGAAGTTAAATCTTACTTAATTTAAATCTCTATGCTGATATGTTCACATACTACCAGTTTTAAGTATTTGAAATCATTTTTAATCTTTGATTTAACTTTTATGATTTATTGTTTGCTACTTGCAAACCTTGGTGTTATGCCTGTAAGCAGTCACATTGCATATTATTGAGTTGTTATTTTTGGTTCATTAGTTCTGTGTGGCTATGCTAACTGAATCCTATTATTTGTTGTTATATATTTCTCTAGTAGCTAATATTCAATTGCACTCATACCATATTATCATTTTTTGCCCTATTTTTACAAACATTAGCATATTGCCATTTTTTTTATATAAACTGCAATCTCATCATTTCTTTAATGATTGTTGTACAGTCCAGACTCCGATACCAGTCAAAGTGACATAGAAAACCTGTCAATCAAAGTGAGGCCACTACCATACATCAACTGATTGTGGCCATGTCTTGTAGGTGTTACAAACCAGGTGACCATTGATGTTTTTTATTAATGGCACGTTAATCTCACGTCATGCTTCACACCTCATACTGCACTGATGATCACACAATCATGTATACATGGTCAAACAAATAGCATGTTTTCACACTCCTTTAAACTTTGTCATTTATAACACTTCTAGTTCAGTGTCTCTTTGGTCTTCTTGTGAACAAAAGATTTGTTCAAAGGGGAAAATTTGCACATTTGTTTCAAGTTTTGTCACCTTTCCCTCCATTTTGCAATAGAGCTCTGCTTTCTTAGCCAAATCAATTGTCTCTGTTCTATTGACAGAAATGGCTGAAAGTTGTTGTTTCATAATTTGAGTATCATTTCTGCCAAGTCGTCCAAGTTTTGCATTTATTTGTTAATCAAAAATACAGTATAGAATTTTATTTGTTAGACAAGAAATGCAAAAATATGTATGTAAAGATGTATTACAACATTTTAACATCAAACAGGAGCATAGAAAGGGGAGTATTATGGGTGAGTTGTAGGGGTATATACTGTGCTTTGAGGTCTCAGTCTGATCCCAGAGTAGACCCCATACAGTTACATCCGGTAATATGGCCACCCCGCTGTGCAGCCATTAAACCTTTCGATACGGGTCATAAGTGAAAGGCCATGTCATCTTTTTTGTTGACTCACATTCAATATTTTATTGAACTACTATTTCATGAATTTATGTCAACAAGTTTGATTATTAGCTGTAGATTATAAATCAAATTTTAAACTATACATTACTCAATTTGTTAAAAGTAAATATTAAAAAACACAGATAAACATCGATTTTTTTTGTTTGTCATGTGGTATGTTGAATGCAGCACTGGTTCCAATTAGATGTTTGTGAAGTCAAAATATTAAGTATATAGTTTATACGAA